AGGAGTCAGGGCCAGGTGGCAGAGGGAGAGGGGAGAAGAACAGAGGCGAGCTGAGCTGGGGCTGAGACAGGCAGGGGTGGGGGATGGGGCGGGGCGGGGCGGGGGGCGCCGGCTAAGAAAGCCGGGGGTCTGCCCCACGCTTGCTGAGCGGACTTGGGCCACTTACAGAGCCTCTCGGGGACAATGGGATCCATCCAGACTGACAAGGGGATGTCGCTGAATGAGGATAAAAACGCTTAGAACAGCACCTGTCGCATACTAAGCTTTTGGTAACAGATTCTGGTGAGGTTTGTACTATAATTATCATTTTTAAGTTGTTTCTCCGCAGCCTTCGCCTGCTAGTGGAGGGCCTGCAGGAGCACGACCACGCACTCGGGGCATTGCAGCAAGTGTGTAAGTTCACTGCAGAAAAAGTCCCTGTGGGAAAGGGGGCATAGGAGAGCCCAGAAAACGAGGAAGTGGGAAACCTCAGCTTCACATCAGCCAAGAGCAAGGACCCCAGCCCTTAAGGCTCTAGATAAGAGGCAGGACTGGCCACGGTAGAGGCTGAGGCTTAGATTCTAATCCCAATTATGTTACTACCTATGGAACCTTTAGAGCCCACAGCCTCTCTGAGCCCAGTTTTCTCATCTGTGATGTGGGGATTGTTAACAGTAACCACGACGACAACGAGGAGGAGGAGGAAGCGGTGGAGGAGGAAGAGGAAATCTTCCTGTCGGGGTAAATACAGGACTAGGGTGATGACTGCAGGAGAGCTTTGCAAACTGTCAGGGGCTTTATATGAACGCACAGGGTGGCATGATATGTCAGAGAGGTGAAGGTTAGACTAGATCTAATGATTCCTAAATACATCAGAATTATCTGAATTCCAGGTCCCCCCCCCCCACCTGGTGAATCAGAATCTCTAGGATGGAGGGCCCAGGAATCTGCAATAGAAAAATTCTCCCTGCTGGGCCCTGATGCAGATGAGTGGTGCAGAGACCAGCATGTGGGAACCCCAGGACTAGAGAACTGATCTCAGAGACCCCTTCTGACCATTAAATTCATGTTGTTTTCCTCCCGCAGCCCTTTCCTCACTCAGGATAGTGTGTTAAAATGTTAAAAATGAATGAAAAGAAGTTTTCTGCAGCAGGGGGCCCAAAGAGTCCAGGGCCCAGGTCATCAGCCTTTGGCGGCCAGAAGACACTCAGTGGGGCTGTATGGAGGATGTGTGGTGCGCTTAGTGGGTCCAGATCCAGAAGCTGACACAGAAGGGGAGACCCAGGTGCCGAGCTTGGCTCAGGCACCAACCCACGTGTGACTGAGATAGTGGCTTAAATCCTCTCAGTTCTGGGTGCGCAAGTATGGAAGTGGGGATGTTGAGAGCTCAGGGGGATCAAGGGGTGAAGTCACGGTTAAGGTGGGGTGGAAGGAGGGTCCGAGTGGCGAGGGAAGGCACACCTACCTGTACAATGGGGTTGTGCAGGTTCTTCTGAACCGGGCCGGGACTGTCGCCCTGTAGCCAAAGGAGAAGAGGAAGATGAAACAGCAGAGTCACGTGACACACAACAGCAGAGGTGGCCCGTGGAGCATGGGGTCTTCCGTGGAAGGTACTAGGGAATCCACCCCCCACCCTTGAAGCGGACACTTCCAGGTAGCACCATGATGGCGCCTGCGGTTCATGGAAATGCTGCCTGGACCAGGGTCCTGGTCAGAGACCCTGGGGTGCTCTCTTGCCTACTCTGGCCTCTTGACTCCTAACACCCTCTGACCAAAATATCAGTCACTCCGAGGCTTCTAAGTTCTTGTCCCAGTTCGTCCTTCAAGTTAGAACTGGATGTTGGTTATAGTTGGTGCTTTTCCTAAAGAAATAAAACTTTATAGAAAATCTCTGTTTTTGTGGAGGGGCAGACAGGGCTCATTAGCCTGACTTACAGATACACAAAGAGGCTCAAGGCAGTCCAACAGTATGGAGCTAATTAAAACCAGAGCTGCAACTCAAATTTGGGACTGTCTGGTTCTTCCTGGTCCAGTGTTCCCAACCGTGGGTGTGCAAAAGCCTTTGTCACAACCCAGAATCGGTCTGCTCTACCTGTTTTGCCTTTGTCACAACCCAGAATCGGTCTGCTCTACCTGGGGGGTAAAAGATCATTGGGATCTTAAAAGTTATTACTAGGGAGTCCCCTGGTGGTCATTTCCAGAATTGCAGGCAAAGTGCTCATGAGGAAACAAAGTTGAGTGTCACCTGACCCAGTATCCAGCAAACTTCTCCAGCCTCTCTGTGCTGAGTCCCACCTCTTCTCTAAGCAAGTGGCCAGAGCATGAAAGGATGGGGAGATCCTTATCCCAGGCCAGGCTGTCCTTGCTGGTACCAGGCCAAGTGCCTGAGAACAGAGGGTTACCTGGAGCTATTTTCAGGCTCTTCCTGGCTTACCTGTGTGCACATCTGTTGAGATGGGGGATGAAGGTGGTTGAGGGAGGGCGGGGATGGAACAAATGGTAGTTCAGTTTCTAATCCCATCTCAAGGTTTGCAACCAGAACTGATCTGGCAGGCAGCTAAGATAAATCTACCTTGGGTAGGGCCATCTTTGCCAAATTTATGGGGAAGAGGCTGAGGCCAGCACCCACTGAAATGCCTGTGTAGATGACTGGCTTGTCAAAGCTCCTGTTTCCTGGCAGCAGGGTCCTGTATAAGGTGAGCTTGGGAATCAATTTGCCGCACCTGCTGCCTGGAGCAGCAGGTATATGCCAAGGCCAAGTTGGGCAAAAGGCTAGGTCTGAGCCACATGCAGTGCAGAGGCCTTTAAAGAACCCTTTCCCAGCAGCCTTTTGGCTGTCACAGCGCCCTCAGGCCCACCACAGGAAGACAAAACACGGCCCTTGGGAAGGTATTGACATTTGAGATGTGCTCAGATGCTACAGGGTGTCTGGCCCGCCCTGTAGGAAGGAAGGGCCCTGCTGGCTGTGGGGGTAACTCAGCAGTGGTCCCTCAGAACCAGCGAGTGGACATCAGAGGCTCCTTTGCTGGCCCACTTTCCTCGCCTTGGTTCTGTTGTCAAGACAGCCTTTGTCACCAGGGTTCTCTCCTGGGAACAAAAGAACAGGTTGCTTCCTTAAGCCCCAGTTTAAAAAGAATCCCAGCCCTGAGCAGGATTCAGGCCTGAAGCGACCTTGTCCCCCCTGCGAAGTGGCCGTGAGAGGCTCCAGCCAGCCATCCTGGATGCCCACGCCACGAGGCCGAGGCACCTTATTTCAAGTTTAGTCTCAGCTATCTTTATAAGGGCTCTCATTGTTACTGTAAATTTGGGAAGAAGTTTCCATTATGCTTACTCACAGAGAGAAAAGTTACTGATACTTAGAAATGGAGATTCGTCCAGTACCAGCACGTATGTCTCAATAGTCTAGTGGCTTTTCAGGTTATTCTCGTGGGGTTTTCCAGGTAGATAATCATCCCACTGGCAAGTAATGGTAATTTTTGTCTTTTTTTCCCTCCACTGTATTTATCCCATTTCTTTTTTATTATCCATCTCGGTTTTTAGTAAAACAACATTAACTGAGTTGTTGAGAAAAGCTTCTGGTGCATTTGAAGACCATTCTATTGTGTCTTCAGGACACGGTGGGGGAGTCTTCCATATCATCTATCACATGATGGAACAGAAATGAAAAGGGGCCCCTGCACCCTGACCCCAGTGTTTCGTGTCAGAGCTGTGACACGGTGTCCTCCTGTCCCCATGTGCTTGACCACCCCACCTTCGTTCACCCGCTCACTCTTGGGGAGCCTGATTGCCCCACTGTCATCAAGAGTTAGGTGTGCCTCTTGGTAGCTGGCGCCCAGCATGCAATCAAAAACTATTTGATTAAAGCAGCAAGCAAAGCAAACAAACTTGGAACAAATTCACTGGATGCCTCTCCAGAGGCAAAACGTGCAAAAACTCCTGGAAATTCAGAAAACCCCGGCTCATTCCTGGATGAAGGACCAAGAGCAGGCTCTACAGGGGAACGGGAGTGGTGGTGGTGAGGCCCCGAGCCCTGGAAGGTATGGTCTAGGAGGAGAAGCCCGCAGGCCCAGACGCAGCCCACCAGACGTTAAGCCCAGGACGCACGGACCCTGCGGCCGACCCAGGCCTGCCTTCCTCTGGATTTTCCTTGCCCTCCCGGACACAAGGAGCCTCTCTCCCCACAGCCATCTCTTCTTGCAAAAGGAAAGAACAGAACAGGAAATGCCTTCGCCAGAACGCTCCCTGGGTGGACGAGAGGAAACAGCGCGTACATCTTCACCCCTCCGCCCCCGCCCCTGCGGTTCCCGGGGCGGCGCCCAGGCCCTGCGGCTGCTGGCCTTACGTTGCAGAGGGAGTGCGTCCGGTGTCGAGGGGAGTTGATGTCGCTTGGCGTGGACGACCGGTCGCCTTCAGCCGCAGAGGCGTCGGAGATGACAGAGGGCTGCCGGGAGTGGCAGGGGCTCACCCTGACCGCTGGAAAGCAGGGGCAGCCAGTGAGCGAGGGGTGGAGAGACTGTCCTCGCCGTCCCTGCCTTGCAGGTGACTCCATCCCCCGCCCCCATCATACAGATGAGAACACAGATATAGACTCGACTTCCCCTCCCCGCCTCTAGTCCACAGCCCCACGCAGCACCAGAGAGCAGCGGCCGGGAAGAATCTCCTGTTGCCTCTGGACGCAACTCGGCCCCCTTCTAACAGGGTTAAGGAGAAGGGGCAGGAGTTTCCAGGGACCTCGGGACTGTCCTCACAATGCTTCCACTGCCTGGACCTGGTGTCATTCTAACCACTGGTCAGCACCAGCTTCCCCAGCGAGAAGCCTGGAGGCCACTGCTGGCTCCTCTCCCCACACCCCCATCCCCCCTCAGCAGCAGCACCAAGTCTGGCCACTTCTCTCCAACTCCACTGCCAGTACCTGGGCCCAGGCCACCACTCTTTCCTGGGCGACCATGGCAGCCTCCCAGGGGGCCTCCCTGCCTCCACTCCTCACTGCAGTGAGAGCTGGGCCTCTGGTCTCTTTACCTGGGGGTAGATACGTGCACTCCTCCTCCAGGCCGAAGGGACACAGCCCTGCCCACCCCAGCAGCCTCAGCGCACGTCACACCGGCTCTCTGACAGTGCCCGACGCCCCATCTCCCTCCTGCCTTGGCCTTTGCTGGTCCTGCTGCCTGTCGGGCACATCCTCGTCATTCAAGTCTCAGCCTGTCCTCCCCCAGTTATCACTCGCTCCACTTTTTTTTTTATCAAAACACCTGTTTTCCATTGATTTTTCTCCGTGCACTGACTGCAATCTGTAATCATTCTATTTGTCAGCTTAGTTACGTGTGCTGTCTGTCTTCACCCCTACAGTGGCAGCTCGAGGAGGGCAGGCACCCTCGATGTCTTATCCATGGCAAACCCCAGAGTTCACAGTGCCTGGTGTGCAGTAGGTGCACAGTCAGTGGTCGTCAAAGGCCTGGAAGCCTGCCCAAGTCCCCCAGCAGATAGCTGGCACTGGCTGGAGGAAGTGCTTTCTGTTCAGCAAGACTGAGGGCCTACTATGTGCAGGCCCACATGAGCAGGGAGGGCTGTATTACTGAGAAAGCCAGTCCTTGCTGCCAGTGGCCATACGGTCATATGGAATTGTGTGAGGCCTTTGAAGCCAGGGACTCCCAGGTAGGTGATGGCAGGACCTGCAAGCTCCAGAGGCCAGCTGCCTGTCCCCAGCCTGCACCTGTCACACAAACGCGGCCACTCACAGGAGGGACAGAGAGTGGAGCCAGGTGGGCTGCAGGTGTGCAGAGGGGTTTGGGGCTTGCACTGTGGCCAGCGGCTGCAGGTGCTGACCAGAGGCCGGTATCTCCCTACCCCTGGTGCCTGGAGCACTGTGACATTTACTTCTGGCCCTCCCGCACTTCCTGTGATGGCACAGAGCTGTCAATCAAGGAGTTCTGCTTTCTCCCCTGCCAAAGGATGCCCATGTGACCCAGATGGGAAAATCAATGCATCCACTCCAGTCCCTAGACACAGTGATTGGTCCAGAGGTAGGCATGTGACCCTGGCTGGCCAGAGTCCTTCTTGGGGATCTACTATAGACACAGAGATCTCTCTTGAGACTTTCGAGCTGCAAGGGCCTTAAAAGCCTGAAACTGCTGGAGATGGTTTTGCTGCTTTGTGGAAAGAGGTGGCCTAAAGATGAGGACAAAAGGAGGCAGGCAGAGCTGAGAGATGGAGAGAGGGGGTCAGATAGACCCAGATATGTCTGAACCTTCGGATCCCGCTATGCCTGAGGTCCACCTCTCAGACTTTTCAGTTACATGAGCCGTAACCTCAGCCCCACACCCCTCTAAGCAGCTATAGTGTGACTATAGAGGCCGCCTCCTGCCATGGGCCCAATGGCCTCCTGAGATGCCCCCCACAGATGCGGCTCGGCCAGGCTGGGCCGGACTCACCTTGCCGGTCTGCGGGGTGAGGGGGGTGCGAGTGGTAGAGAGTCTGCTGGCTCTGCCGGATGGCCGCGGTCAGCGGGAGGTCCGCCTGCACCACCCACTCCTGGTTGCCGTTCAGCACCGTCTCGCCAGGCATGGCGAGTGAATGCCGCTTGGGGACGTCCTTGGTCAGCGTGGCTAAGGACTGCTTGGCCTGGAGAGAGAGCCAGGGGACAGGAAGGACATGACATGATCAAGGGGTCCTCCTGGCCTGCTGCTTGGCCATCACCCCCCAGTGTGAGGAAGGCGCGAAGCCCACCCCTGGACCAGGGCCTCTCCAGCCCTGCCCCGCGTGCCAGTCAGCACGTCACCTGAGGGCTTGCTTTGGGGTCAGTTACCCTTCCGTTCTGCCAACACCACGTGAGACCAGTAATACGGAGAGCAGGGGGACCGAGGACATAATTAGCACCCATTCTTTTGGGTTCTCCGGGGACCAGCTGGGACCTGAATGAGATGGTGAGAAAATGGTGTCTGCCTTTCATCACCTAACTTCCTCCCAAATTCCACGTGTGACTGTCCCTTCACAAGGTGCTGTGCGGGGCAGGCTGGGGACAGCGCAAATCCTCAGCCTGGTGCTCAGGATCACGAGAAGGCACGGGACACAAGGAAGCCGGGGACAAGCATGGGGCCGAGTTTGGGCAGGGGGGATGGTCACCCAGCACTTCCTTCCTCTGTCCACCGACTGAGGCCTCCCCCAGCTTTGGGTTACCTCCCTCTATGGCACATGGCACAAATTACTTGGGGGAGAAAAAGGGCACATACTAGCAATGTATCAAGCGTATTTTTTCCATCACATTCAGCTTCTACTTCCTCACTGGCTGCCCAGGCTCATGCCAGGGCAGACGGGGCACATGGGGAGTGGGCCAAGGGTCTCACATTGAGATTCCAGTGAATTTGGGGGTCACTAAGGTGGCAGGGCCACCGTAAGTGCTGGCTTTGCCTCTAATATGAACACAGATAAAATGGAAAACCTCCTTCTCATCTCTCTCCTAGCTCCAGAAATGTCCACACTTTCCCCAAGATCCTGGCTCTTCCAGGCAGAGCAGGGGTTCTTGAGAAAGAGATTCCAGCCAAAAAATGAACAGTCTTTCCCTACAGCTTGAGACACCGTTATCACATTGACCAGCTGTGTTATTGCAGACAAGTTGTTGCTTTCTCTGAGCCTCTATTTCCCCATCTGTGTAATGGAATGCCTGGACCAATTCTTAGGGCTCCCGCTAGCTTGGATGCCCCAGGAATCTATGAAATCACTCCCCTTCCACTGCCAGCCCCCAGGGAATACAAACCCACATGGCAGTGGGAGGGCGAGTTGAAGGAGTCAGCCCCGCCACTCCAAGCCAGGTAATAATCTCCCCCTGGTTTAGAAATTAAACTGCCCGGATTTGATTCTGGCTCTGCCACTTCCTCGCTGGGGAATCCTGAGACGGCCCCCACCTCTCCGTGCCTTCATGCCCTCATCTGTCTCATGTGGATAACATGGTTGCTATGGAGAGCACCTGGCTGATGGTGAAAAAAAGCTCAATAAACGTTAGTGACTGCTATTACGAAACAGTTTCCACTTCACAAGTAGGAGTCAGACGTGGAGTAATTCACATGAAGGCCGAGGATGCTGTCCGGTCTATTGTCCTGCTCAACAAGTAGCAGGTTGTCGGGATTATTTACGTCTCCCTGAGGTCGAACCATCTGGGAGCTGGAAGGGGGCCGAGAGTTGTGTGCCCCCGCCCCCAAAAGCCCGGAACAGGCCCATGAAAGTTCCTAACTGCCTGGAGGCCAGAATGTGTTTCCAGGATGTCAGAGAGTGAGCTTGGGCCCAGGTGGATGCTGTGAGTGCTGCTAAGTGGAATCCTCTGCTGGCTTTTTAAAGGACTTGCACTTGTCTAGGGACCATCTCTCCTGCCAGACGCTGGGAGGATCCCGGGACAGGAACCTTTTGAGCAGACACGAGAAGGTCGGTGCTCCATGGACTCTGGCTGCACAGATGCACATCTGCACCAAAGGGGCAGCACATTTGCTACAAGCTGACCTGACTACCCTCTTCCTGTGCATACTGGCCGGGACCGGGTCCCAGATCTCAGGACTGCAGTGGCAGCAGGTCCAGCCCAGAGGCACCAGCATGAACTGATGGGGGAGATACTGGCTCCACACCATCTCCAACAACTGCAAGCCTGGGGATGGAGGGAGGCTCTGGAGGGACACTGTCAGGCGTGAGTGGGCCCTGACCTCACGTGTGTGGCCAGGGGGTCTGAGCTCAGGCCCAGTGCTTGGAGCTGGTGGTTGGCAAGGGCTGGTCTGCTTCACCCATCCCCAACCCCAAACACCAAGAGAAGCATTTGCTTCTTAGGAAGCCTTTGTCTTTGACTTTTACTCAAGTGAAGCGGCTCTTTTCAGCTGCATAGGGTGTGTGGGGAGACCAGGCAGCTTCCCCAGGGGTTCAGTGTTGTGGGCAGGTGTGTTTCCCAGCCCGGCCCCCATCTCCTTGGTGGCACCTCAGGGTCACTTAAGAAATGACCCATCACCAGTGCTGCAACCCTTCCCTCTGCTTGGCCGAGCCCTAGGCTGTGCCGACATTACAGCAAATCCACCACTCGGAGCTAACTACTCACACTTAGCAGAGGGGTCTGATGCCCTCCAGAGGGAGGAGGCAAGAACCTGAGTTTCACTGGCTAGAACCAAAGCAGGCTGAGTCATTGGGGCACAGCAAGGGGGGAAGCAGAGGGGAGATGGCTCCCAGTGCTGAAAGACCCCGCAATTCCCCAAGATGCTTGAGGCTAGTGGTCCACGGCAAGGAGGACACATCTGTCCATCCACAGGACACTGGGAAGACTTGGGAGAACAGAGGTCTCGCCTCACTCTGCACTCCCTTCCCAGATCTGCAACTTGAAAGGTTTCTGTCTGGGCTACGGGGCTGCCAGCACGAAGGACCCCACTGATGGGAAGTTCCAGAGAGGGAACCTGGCAGTGGTAGCTTCCTCCTGCCTGGGCAGCTCTGACCACTAGGGGTCAGCATTGGACAAGGAGTCCCAGGAAGCAGCGAGAGGGCTTGGTCCCAGAAGGGGGACAGTGGATCCTGACCTGTCCTGGGCGACCCCTGGTCCTGAAGGAAGTGCCCATAGGAAACCCTCCTGTTGTCATCTCACTCACCATGTACAGGCCGCGCTAAGTGCATCTCTTGCATTATTTCATTGAAATCCTCACAAAGCCCTACGGGTTACACGCAGTTACCCCTTTTGAGACTTGATGGCACTAAGGCTCAGAGAGGTGAAGGGTCTTGCCCAAGGTCACACAGCTAGGAAGGGCTGGATTTGAACCCAGAACCCATGGCAGTAACCACACTGTTGGCCGGCATCAGTGCTCTGCAGTGGAATGCTCAGTTCTCTCTAAGAGCCATGCAGGCCTCCCCACCTCTCAGGAGTTCCCTGCACCCGCTCCTTCCAGCCACTGTTGCATTGAGTCCCTGGTGGTTTCAAGGGCCCTTTAAGCCATGAGCTCCCTGGAGTTTCTCAACCACCTGGTGGGGAAGGCAGTCACCGCAAGACCAGATAAAGGTCATTGAAGCTCAGAGTTCAGTGAACAGCCCAGGGTCACACAGGATCAGGCAGAACAGAACTCCTGGGCTCTGGACCTCGGTTCTGCTGCTAGGCCAGGCCTGGACACACCGCCTGGGCTCTGTGTCCCCACATGCAGGCTGCACATCTCTGAGGAAAACACGGTGTCTGGAAGTATTCTGAGGGATTGTTTTGGATTAGAAAAAAAATAACATTTTTTTCCTTGAGGACCCAAGTTAAGACATTTTCACTACAGATGAAAACAGGAGGGAAAAAAAGGAAATAAAAGTCACTTGTAATCTTACTACCCAGAGATAACCATTGTTAATTTTTTTGTGTATTTCCTCCCAAAGGTTAGCGGATGGGCTCCCAGCATGTCCCACGCCTGGCCCCAGGCAGGTGGATGAAAGGCTCCGTGGTAGGGAAGGAAGCACGGAGCATCCCGGACCCCGCCCTGGCCCCGCCCCGCCCCGCCCCGCCCCTCCGGCCTCCACGCTGGACTCTCAGGTGAACCCGCGAGCACGCTGTCTCCCAGCACATTACATCGCCTCCGGCAGATGCCCGACCAGGCCCGGGTGAGTGAGGGGAGGGGTCTCACCATGGCCAGCTCGGCCTCCAGCTCCTTCATCCGGTTGTCCTTGAGGTCCAGCTGGGAGCGCAGCGCCGTGGCGTGGTCCGTGGCCTCCTTGGCTTGGCGCCGCAGCTCCCACTTCTCGCGCTCCAGCAGGTCCTTCTCTTTGGCCAGGGCTTTGACGGCGTCCTCGCTTTCCTGTGGGGAGGGCGCCGGACGTCACCACGGGGGCGCGGGCAGGGCCTGCTCTGGGACCAGAGGAAGCCGCGGGGAGGCCCCTGCGCACCGCACGTGGCTGGGCGCTCCGGCCCCGGAGGAAGAAGCCCCTGGGTGCCAGCCGGGCTCTGCCACAAACTAGCTGGGAGACTGCACCAGAGACAGACCATTGGTAGATGCTCAGCCGTTCCGTTTTTCAGTGGATACATGAGCAAATGAACGTCATGGGTAAGCTGTTTAACTCGTCCAGTCTCGTTTTTCCATATTTAAAATGGGGGTGGAGGGACAATACTGCTTGTTTCAAAGAGTTGTTATAAACACTAAATGACTTCCTGTGAGGGAAGTCAGTTAAATGGAGTCTGACAAAAGTTAGGGTCGGCAGTGGGTTTGGGTTTCGGTTCTGTTCTGTTGCTGGGTAATGTGTGTGTCACAGGGAAACGGACAGAGGAGGCGCCTGCAGTCCAGCCACCTTGGCTGCCATGGGGCCCTGCCACTGTCCCACAGGGTCACAGCCGATGGTGGGACAGGCTGAACCCCCAGCTAGCTGCCGTGACTGAATGCAGTACAGCCCTCTGCCTGGCACCCCATGACCTGTATTCCCCATGATGCTGAGGGAAGGGCTGTGGGCTTGTGATGGTTGGGCAAAGCCAGTAGGCAAGGAACAGCCGGCAGAATCGGGGGCATGACCTCTGTTGGCCAGAGCCAAGTATCAGGACAGCAGGCATCCTTCCCCCAGACGAAGGGCCCCAGCAGGGGGCCCTGCCCACCCACCCAGCCATGGTCTTCCCATCCGCCAAATCAGGAGCCAGACTCCAAGTCTCCACACAGCCTGGGACCGTGGGGAAAGCAGTGGCCACCCTGCCTTATCTAACAGCCCTGTCGCTGAAGCACCTTGACTTCCAGGTGCCAGAGACTAGGAGGCCGAGGGAGACACTGAAAAGGCATCTTTCTCTGTGGCTGCCACAGAGCTGTACCTGCGGCTTAGGTTCTGGGAAGAGATAGACAGTCTGGGTCGATACCTGGTTTTGCAAGAACAAGCTGCAATGACTGTCATGCCTCGGTTTCCTCACCTGTAACATGGGCTCATAGCGCACGTACTGGGGGTTGTTATTGTGAGGAATGAATGAGATAATCCCTTCAGTGCTCAGCATGGCGCTGGGCACACAGCAGGTGCTCACTCATCACTAGGTGCTGCTCAAGTGTCTCTGAGAGGCCTTCCCCAACCACCTTTCTAAGCGAGCAGCTTGGGGTTCTCTCATATTGGTACCTGACACTGGTCATTCAACCAACATTCACAGATACCATCAGCAGGCATGAACCAGAGAAAAATCCCTGTGCCTGCAGAGCTTACACTGAAAAGCCCTTCTCCACGCTCGGTGAGAGCAGGAACGGCCACTCTATGTCATCGGCAGACACCTGGGTCCCAGGACAGCAGCCTGGCAAACAGCAGCCAAGAAGCACTGCTGAATAAGAGCATGTGTACAGCAGCGGCCGGGACATCACAGGGCAGCTCTCCCAGCCTGGATGAGGGGAGGACGCCCAAGTTTCTGTGTCACCTGCTCTCCTGGCTTCTCGGTCTAGAGGAGGTGGTGTCTGTATTAGAGGGATGACTCCTTCCAGGATGTGTCTTCTGGGGTCAGGACACCTGGGTGTGAGTCTCAGCTCTGCCCACTGCCAGCTGGGAGGTGCTCAGGTCATGAGGGTGGAGCCCCCATGAATGGGGTTAGTGCCTTTATAAAAGGGACCCTGGAGAACACCCTTGTCCCTTCCACCAAGTGAGGACACGGCAAGAAGTCTGTGACCCAGAGAAGGACCAAGAAAGCAGGTCGTGGTGGGTTCCGTTTCCTTCTCTCTGCTTCCATAGGCTGTCAACTTAATGCTACATTCTGTCTGCAAATGGTGGGCATGGGGAGCAGACTTCTCGGGACCCAGCTCACCTACTCTGGGAGGATGCAGGCAGGGGAGGCTGGGGCCCTGCTGCTCAGGGCTGGCACCCAGGGCACCGAAAGCTCCAGACCACAGTCAGGCTGTGGGTGGCCTGGCCCAGGGAACTCTCTTGGTGCTGTTTCCATCCTGGAGAGGAAGGGAGCTGCATCCGTGGGAGGTGAGAGGGAAGGTCACTGGTAGAGACGATGGTGGGCTGTTGGCATGAAGCACTGAAATTCAAATTCCACCCCGACACTCTGCCCCTCAGCTCTGGCTCAGAGGCAACACACTCACATATCCGGCCCACTGCCACCAACAGTTCGAAGAAGCGCTCAAACCTTGCTCAGCCAAAGAAACTTAAGGAGCCTCCTACCTTCTGCTGCAGAGTACATGTGAACCTGGGTCACAGCCCTCGTCCTGTGGTGTCATGTACTTGAAAGGCAGTTTTCAACACTTTTTCTGCCCTGCACACTAGAAGATCACAACTCTCTCCCTGCAGACACAGTACCTCATTAAGTCCTGCATGGTTGGACGGACTGACTTTTTAAAGTTTTGGGACCCTCTTCAGCATGTACACAGCACATAAACCAGACAGATATCTGCGGAACTAAATTCCTCAGTCATCTGACCAGAAACTCCTACTCACCCCGCAGTGCCCAACTCATATGTCACCTCCTCTCTGAAGCCTTCCGGGACTCTCCCAGCAGACAAAATTCCCTGCTGGCTCACGGTTCTCCTCACCTCTCTCTTCACACTCTTATGATGGTATTATTAGTAAGATATAGCTGACATGTACTGAGTGCTCACTACGTACTAGGTGCCATGCTCAATGCTCTGTATTCATCATCTTCTCTAGTCCTCATCACAGCCCTGAAAGGTCTGCATGTGGTCGTTGTTTTGCAGATGAGGAAACTGAGGCTCTGAGAGGTTAAGGGAGGTACCCAAGGGCACGCACGTGGGGAGCTGGGCTCTGAACCCAGGCTAGCCGGCATCCAGAGCCCACGCTGTCACTGACTGGGCTTCCCCGTCCGGGCTTGTCTGCCCTGGAGACACGGAACCCTAATAGGGGCTGTGCTTGGTTCATCTCAGCACCCAGGCCCGGGCCTGACACATCAGGGGCCTCCCCAAGTGCGGATGAGGTGACGGGAGCAGTGTGCCTGTCTTGGGATTGGAGAGGCCGATCCCGGTGCTGTGGGTGGGGCCGGGGGCGGGGCAGCGGGTGTGTGTGCGGGGCGGGCCCCCACCTTGCGGTGCTGCTCGTAGTTGCGGATGAAGTCCCGGAGCTGCTCCTCGCGGCTCTCCAGCGTGGCGTACAGCTGCTGCATCTGGCTCACCAGGTCGGTCTTCTCACCCTTCAGGCGCTTGCGGTCGGCTTTCATGGCTGGGGAACAGAGAAGCGAGTGAGTTTCCGAGGTCCTAGCTGAGAAGGGACCCTGTCTCCATCCCTTTATTAACAGAGGAGGAAACGGGCTTCAGAATGTTGAAGTTTCTCTTCCAAGCTCCCCTGTTACTCAGTGGCAGGATACGAACCCAGGCCCGCCTAGCTCTAGAGTCCAGATTCTCATTTCTCGCTTTTACTGATCCAACCAGGGGAGCAAGTCCTGGGTTGACGTCTATCCCCGCCCTGAACTGGCTAGGTCCCCAGAGGGAATGAGCTGGAGGCCTGGTGAGCCTGTGACCCCCATGGCCCAGGAAGCTAAGGGGATCCTTGATTTCCCGCCAAAATGACCCCCAGGGCTCACTCTGAGCCCACCAGAACTCAGCCCAGCCCAACAGCGCACCGTCTGTCCCCACTCCCATCACAGGGGAAAGAGTTCCGTTAAAAACACACAGTAAGCTATGACACCAAAGGCGTGAATAACAGAAGAAAAAAACAGATACATTGGACTTCATCGAAACGAAAAACTTTCATGCTTCAAAGGACACCATCAAGAACGTAACAAAGACAACACAAGGAATGGGAGAAAATATTTGTACATCATGTATCTGATAAGGGGTTTCTATCTGGAGTATAAAAAGAACACTTACAAACTCAATAATAAAAAGAAAAATAACCCAATTTTCAAAAATGGGCAAAAGATCTTAACGGACGGTTCTCCCAGAAATGGCCAATAAGCACTTGAAAAGGTGGCTGACATCATCAGTCGTCAGGGAAATGCAACTCAAAACCACAATGAGATACACTCCTGCTCATTTAGAGTGGCTGAAATATAAAAAGAAGACAGTAACAAGTGTTGGCGAGGATGCGGAGAAACTGGAACCTTCATACACTGCTGGTGGGAATGGAAAATGGTGCAGCCTCTGTGGAAAACAGCCTGACCCTTCCCGAGTGGTTAATAGTAAAGTTACCCTACGACCCAGCCATTCCACTCCTAGAAATGAAAACACATGTCCACACAGAAACGTGTATACATATGTTTAGAGTAGCTTTCATCATAATGGCCAAAGGTGAAACAGCCAAATGTCCATCAACTGATGAATGGATTGTTAAAAATGTGGTATATCCAAATAATGGGATATTACTTGACCATAAAAAGAAGCAATGATTCATGCTACAACACGATGAACCTTGAAAATACTATGCTCAGTGAAAGAAGCCAATCACAAAAGGCCACACACTGTATGATTCCGTTTACGTGGCGTGTCCAGAATAGGGAAATCTATGGAGACGGAAGAAGATTATTGGTTGCCCAGGGCTGGGGTGGGGGGTGGCAGAAGGGGTGGGGGCTGGAGAAAGGAGGGGTGGTAGCCAAAGGGCTTGGGGCTTCTTTTTGAGGTGATGAACGTGTTCTAATATCGATCATGGTGATGGATGTACAACTCTGTGAATGTAATAAAAACTTCTGAATTATGTACTGTAAATGGCTGAATTGCACGCTATGTGATTTATATCTCAATAAAGCTGTCACACACACACACAAACACATACGGTGCCATGCGCCCCACGCAGCAGTGTGACTTCTCCTCCCTCCAGATTCCCCTCCCAGCACTGGCTCTGTGGCGAAGGGTGTGGAGAGGGACGAGCCCAGGCCTGTTCAGGGCAGGTTCCAGCTGCAGGGTGGGACCCCACGGCTTTTCCCAGGGTGCCCAGACCTCCGGTCCCTCCCTGGAGAGAACACTGGGAGGGAGCAGAGCAACTCCTCGGCTCTGGAAGCTTCCAGCCCAAGAAGGCACAGAGTGGTTAAGTCACTTGCCCAGAGTCACAGAGCCATGTCTGACCCCAAGGCCCTCACACCTGACCCTACATTATGCTGCCTCTACTTCCAGACCCTGGAGGGTCCTGGCCCCGTGGCCAGCTGAGGGCAGTGATACGGGGCAGGCAGTGAAGGTGCCACCCCATCTTGTCCTGGACACTGAACCTGGACACTGAACCTGCAAATTCAGCCTCCGATGTGAAAAAGTATGGCACAGTTCAGCGCCGGACATGTGCTAGCATCCTTCTGACCCTGCAGAGTTGGGGGACTCCTATGCCCCTCACCCCAAGCCCTGTAAAACGGGGTGGAGGCAGGTGGGCTGGAGCCGTGTTGTCAGGTGCAAGGAGCCACAGGGAGACCCCTGCAGTGGAGACCCCAAGTGTTGGGGAGCCTTTAAATTCCAGCTGTATGCTTCTGGGCTCCTGCACCTAGACTTGTCTCCTTCGTGGCCAGCTTGGCAGAGCAATAACTGAGGTCACCGTGGCCCGGAATTCCAGGCCCGCTGGGCTGGAACCTTAAAGGGCCGGGGCAGCAGAGCCATAGACAGAGGACTCTCACTTCCCTCTCCTGTCAGGAAGGGGTGGGAGGGAGCACACCTGTGTTCTAACGTGCTGTGCCCACCTTGCAAGTGAAATTCATTTTAAAAAACCAAGGCGGGAGGGTGTAGCTCAGTGGCAGAGTATGTGCTTTAGTATGCACGAGGTCCTAGGTTCAGGCCCCAGTACCTCCATTAAAAAAATAAAAAATAAACCTAATTATGTCCCCCCCCCCCCGCAAAAAAAAAAAGAAAAGAAAACCCAACATCTAAAGATGTAATCTGGTCAGAAGGGATGTTACAGAAGAGCTTGAGCCCAGCTGTCCCAGAGGAATCGGAAATTTCCATCTGCCATCTTCTCTGCTGCTGGCTACCCGCCCGTGACTGAGCTGGCTGGGTGGGTATTTTTGTCATCATCATCATCCCATTTTACAGAGGAGGAAACTAAGGCCACCCAGCCAGTCAATGGCAGCGCTGGCACCCGACCCTCAGTCTCGGGCAGGTTTCAGACCTGCAGGGTGTGAGGACGAGGGGGGAGCACTGTCCAGGGAAGGAACTCCTGGGGGGCCACTGACCCGAGCAAAGTGACCCCTGCCACTCCCCGGGGACACCTCGGGCAGGGAGGGGGCCCTGCGCCCCAGTGGGGAGATGTTCACCAGGGAGTCAGGTCTGTGCCCTGCAGCTGCCGGTGGCTGTTGCATCCCTGCCCTTCGGGGGGAAGTTAGACCTCCCTGGGCTCTGATTGGCCTCCTTCTTTAGCCCCGTCTGGATGAGAACCAAGCTGCAGGCTTTGCCCTTGGCAACTGGAGGCTCTGGGAGGCCGTCCCGTAGCGCGGGGCTGGGCCTCTTTTCACTTTCGCCAAATGGCCTTGAGAGGGGCGACCCTGCAGCCTCGTGCCGGCCTCCCCGGGTCTCCTGGCGGCTCCGTCCTGCACCGTCTGCGCGTGCGGAGAGGCTGTGTGTGTCTCTTCCGTCCATCGGTGGAGGGCTGTGTGCTGGTGGCCTCAGCCGGGCGGCAGAGGGTTTTGCTTCCCCTATCTGACTCCCGAGAGCACGGGCTGGATCTCTGCCTTCAGATTAGCAGCCCTTCCCTAAGAGGGAGAGGGGGCTCACCTCAAACTCTTCGGTTAAGCACCTTCATGAGGAGACTCCACGCTTGCTGTCATGAGGGGGATGGAAACAAGCAAGACATGGTCCCTACCTTTTGGGTGGTTGATGGTCTAATAGAGAATGACACTAGTCTCCACCCATCTTCCTCCTTATCAAGTCTCCACCCATCTACCTCCTCACCTTACATAACCCCAATTCTGTTTGTGCCCAGTTAAAACCCTCAACTTCCCGAGCAACCTTGCAGTGAGAGAGGTCTTATATCGCAGTTCTGGCCACTAAGATGTACACAGAAATCTACTGGAAAAGTCACTGTTTTCTTTATAGAAAGTCACGGGATGCTGGCATTAATGCTTGCCTTTTGCCCTTCCTCTTTCTTCCTGCTGGGAATTTGGATGTGACATCCTGAGGCACAGCAGCCATCTTATGAGCACAAGGATGAAGACATGAGCTGAAAACGGGGAGCAGAAAGACAGAAGGGGCCTGGACCCTTGATGGCACCACCAAGGTCAGGATTCCTGGTAACTGAAGCAAAATAAACCCCACTGTTTGTGGGATTTCTCATCATGTGCAGCCCAGTGTGTTCCTAACCGATAGATCCAGGCAGGCTGTGAGAAGGGCCGTCACCCTCCCACCCCTCACGAAAGGCTTCACCCCATGGTTCCTTCACATGAGCTTCCCTTGGCGGGGGGGGGGGGTAGGGGTGGGTCCCTCCTCTGCCCAACTCTGGGCTGGACCCTGCCAGGCTGAGGACTGAGAAAACACAAAAGCCGAATCTCTCAGAATGAATGCTGAGTGAGGATCACTTAAAAACGAAGATAAGGTGCCTCTGGAACCAGTGTGAGCCAAGGAGCCGCTGTGCGGTCTGCCGAGCTGTTCAGAAGCATACACACCCACAACCCACGCAAGGAAACGCACACAGAGGAGCAGGACCGGGGAGTGCCTGGGGACGCCTGCACTGGCCAGAGGTGGGAAAGTGGGTGTGTGTGTCCCCACTGAGCCCAAACGTCCCCAAGTGCTGCCACCCCAATAGATGGGGGGGTTCCCCGAAAGGGGGGCAGTATTGTAACACTTAAAGGAAGCAAGGAGGTTAGACCGACAGACCCCCAAGAAATAACTTAAACTACAGACACAGCTATGAAATTTATACAATGGAACGTGTACTTCCTTCCGTTGTCATAAATATGCTTTTGTTTTCCTTCAAAACCCTGTTTGACGTTCTCTGAATGCTCCTAATGCAAGGTGAGCTGATGGTCCACAAGCATGACAGTTTCCCTCTGTGACCGGCCTCCTGCCTCGGCCCCAAGCTCCCCAGCGTTCCGTTCTCCTGCCCAGCCATACGGCTTCACCCAGGCATGTTCCATTCCAGCAGCCAGACCACCGGAACCACTGCCATGGAGACGGGTGATGTCATACCCAGCAGACCCTGCAGGATCTCGGAAGGAGACCAGCCCAGCTCCCGGGAATCTGGGGACTCTGGGGATGGGAGGGAGGGTGTGTGGGGAAGGGACTGATTTTTCTGACTCCAGGAGGCCAGATGCATGC